TTCCCAATTCAACAACTCACAAACACACCCTGTCCTCTACAATCTGAATGCAGAGGTGAAACAGATAAATAAAGCATTAAAAATCTTGAGTGAAGATGATAAAACCTGAAATATCTATGTGATGAGCCCGAGGACTTACGGAAAAGCATTAGGAAGGAAGTCACCAAATACTATAAGAAAGTACCCCTCTTTATATATTGGGAAAAAATAACGAGGAGGCTAAAATATCACGGCCAAGCTGGATATAGTGACCGGATCGCGTCCTGAAACTATGTGGAAAGCAAGCTTTCTTCACTGTAAAGGAACATAAAAACAAATTTCTTAATAGTCCTTCGTTCCGCCTAATCAACCCAACCAAAACTGAATTGGATAAAATAAGCCAGGGATTTTTGCAATAATTGTGAGACTTACTCCGAATCGCAACTTTGGCTAATCAATCGAAAGCTATAGTAGAATGCGTTTCTTGGTTTAGTGGGGTGAAAATTAAAAGAGCAGGTATTCATTAAATACGATATAGAAGATTTCTATCCCGCCATATATGGGCTACTAAAAGCATTTTGTTGAAAACAGGTAAAAACAATTCTATATTGTAAAAAATATGTTCTGTTCTTGTTATATAGAAATAAAGTGTCGCTGCCGACACTTGAGTTTGAACAGTGAGCAAACACAGGCGATCCCATTATTGAATTATCTTGATCAAGTAACCATACAGGAAACGCATATATAGAAGGTAGCGTGAAGTCTATTTAATCGCAATTTCTAATCTATCCGCTATTACTATTCGGATCTCCATTTCTATTCTATCCTCTATTGCTCTACGGATCGCTATTTCTAGTCTATCCTCTATTATTATACTCATCGCTATTCTTTACTCTATTCACTCTAGTATTTCTCTATTGGAATCACTATACGGATTACTATTCTAGCGAGTATTATCGAGCAAGTACTATTAGTGCGAATGATATTCGAAGGCGTCTGACAACAGTATTGTTCAACGGCGTACAATTGTTGTACTTGCGATTACAAAGTGTCTACTACAATGATCATTATAAAAGTGACAACGAGTATTCGTTGACATCACAAAAGTGGAAACGAGTGTTCGTTGACATCAAAAATGTTCCAGAATGGCGAAACATTGCTAAAAAACAAACAAAGGTTCCTTTGATGTCCCCCAAGTTTCGTTCGATGGTACTGAGGTTTCTGTACTGATGAACATTTACGTATTGAGTAAGATCAGCGAAATAGTCCATATGGCTAACCAGGGCCTGTATAGGGACGACGGACTGATCTGAGTGACGAGCAATAAAAGAAACAATGATAAAATAAGGAAATTTCTACTTAAACTCTTCAAAGCTCTCGTCTTTGAGATTGAGGTTGATATTAATCGAAAAGTGCTCGAATACTTGAACGCGGAATTAAATCTACCATCTGGCAGCGTCTCCACATATATGGAACCCAACAGCTGAATGAAATATGTGAAAGCTGGTACTCTAAAATTGTAATTAAGCACATCCCCAATGGGTATAGAATGCAGGCTTCTTCTTAATGGAACATTTTTGAAAGAAAAAAAAAAGAAAGAGTGTTAATAGAGAAGGTGCGCAAGTTTAAACCCCCAAATCTCCAATCGATGGAGCATACCAAAAAGAAAAGAAATAATATTTAATTTAATCCCCAACCCCTTTAAATTGGAAGTTAAATCTATATGCACTTCCCTAAAAATTCTGAATTGCCTAAGATCTTCAATAGAAAATCCCGTGAAGATAAGCTATAATTGTATCAGCAAGTTGTAAACTACCATCAAGAAATAGAACGTCAGGAATTTCAAAGTTAACGTGGAACATAAGGGCATAAATAATGAAATATGCAACTGTAGAAATAGAAGCAAATGTCTGGTCTACAAATCAGAGGTGGAGAACGAAGGTCGATCAAGTAAGGTATAATGTGAGGTGTACTGAAGGTGGCTTCAAAATTACATGGTACAATCATCATAGAGACATGGAAAAATATATAAATTGTATGAAACTGGTTAGCCATGTGTGGATAATAAATGATAGAAATTGAAAAAGCTCTAGTATGCGCTGGAGCATTTTAAAGAAGGTCAATCCCTGCAACACTGGTGAGGTTATGAGCAGACTATGCCAGAAGGTCAAAATAGCAATCATGTCGTATCTGGACCAAAATAAGCTTATAATAACAAGTCTGAAGTGATGTCAGGCTGCAAGCACACTAGAAAATACATTTTGGGTTTGTATGAATCCGGATAAGTGTACATGTACATTTTCCCCTGCACTTCCATTTCCTCTGGCCTTGCTTTGCCTCTCCACTTCCATCGGACTTCCCGTTGAGAATATACAAATAAAAAAAAGGGCGTTCCGAAATGCAAGAAACCTCAGCTGCCAGACGAAACCTTATCGGTAGAAACAAATGGTTAGTATTCCTTCATTTTTTATATATATATATATATATATATATATATATATATATATATATATATATATATAATTAATTGATTTAAAATATGTTTTTTTACACAGTTCTAACCATGTTTACATGGTTAGAACGAAAAAAACATATTTTAAATCAATTAATTTATAATAGTAATGCTCTGTAAATTTACATTGAACACTATTTTGTAAAATAAAAATATCTGTAAGAATACCGGATTATATATCTTACTGTTCTTTCTTTATATATATATATATATATATATATATATATATATATATATGTGTGTGTGTGTGTGTGTGTGTGTGTGTGTGTGTGTGTCCTAGAAAGGGATATATATGAACGAAGTAGCTAATGGTTTGACTACTATAACCAAGTAGAATACGGTAGCAATAATCGACTTGTACGCGTCATAGTCACAGGTAAGAAGTGTAGATCAATGGCGTAGTCCAATGGGCGTCGTTATAGACTTAGCTCTCAGACTATGGCTCTTTGACTCTGTCGTACCTACACGTCCGTCAGTATTTATGACGGACACCAGCCAATCATATTCCAGTGAGGGGGAACACAGGTGTACGCATATTCCATTATATCATTTTCGGATACAACAATACATATATTTTCGTTGTCCTCTTATTACTAAGAGAAAGAACAAGAACAACATCTATTCCATACCTGAAGATGTCTGTAGGAACAGACGAAAGCTTGTAGTAAAAATAAGAACTAATACGGCAGAAATTTATAGAAACAAGGATCATTTCATTCATAACGGATTCGGAGGTTTTTGTATATTATTTGAATTGTTTGTGACGATGGATTTCTCGCCAATTAAATCATTAACCTTTGCATTTGTTTTTTCTGTGAATAATTCATGAATTTGTAAATTGATTGCACGCTTATTGTAATTAAAATAACTGATCCAAGTGCGACTTTTGGATAATTAGTGCGACATTACTGTAATTACTGAACAATATAGTTCATGCCACTTTGACAGAAAATTTACCAGTAAAAAATTCGTATATCACCATATTTGTACATGAACGCACAACTGTAAAAAAAAAAAAAAAAAAAAAAAAATTTAAAATCAAACTCAGCGTTGCTACTGCGCGCTCCAAAAACAATAACTCATTTCCAATAGCATTTTCGGATACAACAATATATATATTTTCGTTCGGTGCGATTTTCGCTTCTAGCGTCTTATATGAACGTGTTTATCGTTGCTAGGAAATCATCCATGTAAACAATAACGAACTATCATCACTTTCTTGTCCGGATATTGCTTAATATATTGTACAGTAATTGACATATTTGATAATGGCTTATGTAAGCCGAAAGCTTACATCGGATTAAAAAATATGGATCAATATTGTGATTTTCTTTCTTATGAAAAGAATTTACATAAAATAAATAGACAACACTTGTCTATATTATATAATGAAACATGTATATATATATATATATATATATATATATATATATATATATATAACCAGCAGCCATGCTATGAATACAAGGGATATAATATGAAATCTAAAGCTAAACAAATATAAGCATTTGTTTAATATGGAATTTTGTATGAGGTACCCAGTGAGGATCAAAATCAGTTCTGTCAACTAGTAATTATCAACAAGACAAATCCCAGTGACCATATTTTTTACGATATCAATCGGGCAAATTACGTTTATGGGAAACAGTCACCAGTCTATGCGAAGAACGGTTTATTACAACCTCCTGCTTATATATAACACCCAGCGACGAAAAGAGCTACATTATATAATGCCTAACTCTAAACAAACAGAGAATATTTATTTTGCCTTTAATATTTAACTAGAGGACAAAAAAAATTATAAAAGACTTCGACGAGATTTTCTTCTTCGCAACAGATCCGTGTTTTTGTGTTTTCCTCCATGTTTTTATTTTTTTTTATTTCTCTTTTCTCTCACTAACAGAGTTCATTGGCTTACATGATCTGCCAAGTTGATGTGACACGTGTTATGATTATTTGTCTTCTTGATTCAGTAAGTTGGAACGTCTACCTCTGACCTATCCTTCGCCAAATATCAAATCAAATTAAATAGCCTATTGAAACCGAGATGGATAATGTTAATTCTTTTAGGATTTGTAATTTAAAAAAAAAAAAAAACTATTATTTTCTTTTGTTTTCTTTTGTAGAATGTGAATTGAAACAACAAATCAAATTTGGTATCGTAGGTTTTTGTTTGTCTTTTTCCTTCTTTTTTTTTTTTTCTTTTACAGCCGACATTTGTTATTTTCCTGGATTCTTTTGTACGAGATGTTTTCCGGGAGCAAATAGCTTATCATTAAACTTTGAGAATACGATGGTATTTCTAACATTATATGAATACTGAGAGAATATTCTATAGTAGTCGGTAGAAAATAAAGTTCATCATGCCTCCAGGTTTGAGATAGATAGATAGATAGACAGACAGACAGACAGAAGTAAATAAATAGAATCAGAAAGAATTCTATCTAGCTTTTTTTTTTTCAGAATTAAATTGCCATTATTAAGTAGAGAATGTTGGTATAAACTAATATCATTTATTTAATAGAGGGAAGGAGAGAGAGAGAGAGAAAGAGAGATAGGTAGGTAGATATTTACTGAGGAAGCGATAGATATTTACAAACAGATAGATATATAGATAGATAGATATTTTCTGCCATAATGATAGTTTCGAACAGACTGATAGATAGATAGATAGATAGATAGATAGATAGATAGATAGATAGATAGATAGGAACAAACTGATAGATAAATACAAATTTACTGACAAAAAAATATATATATATATATAGATAGATAGATAGATATTAATGACAAAATTTTAGACAAAATGATAGATAGATAGATGATAGATAGATAGATAGATAGATAAATACGAACAAACTGATAGATAGATAGAAATTTACTGACAAAAGGATATATATATATATATATATATATATATATATATATAGAGAGAGAGAGAGAGATAGATAGATATATAGATAGATAGATAGATAGATAATGAATAGACATAGATAGATAGATAGATAGATAGATAATGAATAGATAGATAGATAGATACAAATTTACTGACAAAAGGATATATATATATATAGATAGATAGATAGATAGATAGATATTTTCTGACAAAATGATAGATTCGAACAGACTGATAGATAGATAGATAGATAGATAGATAGATAGATAGATACGAACAAACTGATAGATAGATAGAAATTTACCGACAAAAGGATATATATATATATATATATATATATATATATATATATATATAGAGAGAGAGAGAGAGAGAGATAGATAATTTACTGACGAAGAGATCGATCAATACAGAGCGATGAGTAAATTTTTTCTATTTTATATTTTTAATTTTTCGTGTGCCCGTTTGTTTTTGAATTTGTTTCCTGAACCATATACTCGAATCAGTTGGGCAGCGTCTGTAAGAAAAAGATCACCATTAGGGTATTCACTCCACCAGAAGTTTGGAAATGGCATTCGCGCCGGAAGTTCCAATACGAACATTTCAGAATATTTTGGTGTCAATGCAATGCAGAAGATTCGAAAAGAGTCGGCTGAGTCTAATGGCGATTACGAATGTGATCGCTGGTGATGGCGACGTTATACCTCTATTTGTATTACCACAGGACATCAGACTCAACACAGAGACCTACATCAAGTGACTTGAGGAGGTAGTGCTATCCTGGTCAGGTGGGTGGCTGCTGGAAGAACCTATGTCTGGCTACGGGACTCTGCGCCATGCCACACAAGCAAGAGAAGACACTTTCTACGACCACATCACGCCTTACATCTGGCCACCTTACTCCGCAGACTGTAACCTCTTTGGTTATTATGGGTGTGTTACAGTTGAGCGTCAGACCAATAAAACCAATATTTTTGTGTAATTTTGTAAATATATCTGTTAAAGTGAGATGTCAGTGTTATTCTCAGTTTTGCGTAATTTAGACGACAACATATCCATTGCACCCTGTAGATAGATAGATAGATAGATAGATAGATAGATAGATAGATAGATAGATAGGAAAACAAAGAAAAAAAAGAAAGAAAGAACGAAAGAAAGAGAGAAAGACTGAGATAGATATATCTGAAAAGACTAAGATAGATAGATAGAAAGATAGGGAAACACACTAAGAAAGAAAGAAAGAAAGAAAGACTGAGATAGATAGATAGATAGATAGATAGATAGATAGATAGATAGATAGATAGATAGATCTGAAAAGACTAAGATAGATAGATAGATAGATAGATAGATAGATAGATAGATAGATAGATAGATCTGAAAACACTAAGATAGAAAGATGGGAAAACACACTAAGAAAAAGAAAGAAAAGAAAGAAAGAAAGAAAGAAAGACTGAGATAGATAGATAGATAGATAGATAGATAGATAGATAGATAGATAGATAGATAGATCTGAAAACACTAAGATAGAAAGATGGGAAAGAAAGAAAGACTGAGATAGATAGATAGATAGATAGATAGATAGATAGATAGATAGATAGATAGATAGAAAGAAACAAAGGTAAACAGAATGTGGTAGAGAGATATATACATATATAGATAGCTTAGCGAGATCCCTTTCTTTTTTTCTTTTAACCGTCTGCTATTCTCTCTCTCTTATTTCCTCTCTCTCTCTCTCTCTCTCTCTCTCTCACTCTCTCTTACATCCCTCCTTATAAATTTCGTTTATTGAAAACTAATTTGAGAAGTCAGTTATTTGGTTATTTATTTGATTCGTCATAAATTTTATTTTTCCTTTCTTTGATTAATCATAAATCTATATTTACCGACTGATTATGATTCTTCAATACTCTTTGCCGTGAAAAAAAAAATACGCCAACACTGCTGCTTTATTTATGATATTTCTTTAGAGTTTCCGCAAGAAAATATTTTAAAGAAACTTCTGAGGCTGAATTAAATAAGCTTGCTTATCTCTGAAAGTCTTTTATTAATTTAGATTTCAATGCACATTCTGCTGGTTCATTCAGTTGACGCGGACTTTATTTATTCAGCTGAAACTCATACACAAAGGGAGATAACTGAAACGAGGGTCGGGATGAATCTCGGAAAAAATTATCTTTATTTAGGTTTTTCTATTTACGAACAAAATTCTACAAATGAAAAAAAACGGACATTATTTCATAACATTTAATTTTTTTTTTTTCCATCTTAGATTCCGACAAAACTTTCTCCAATCTCCTTATCTTCACAGAGATCTAACTAAAATCATATTTTCAAAAGACATGAAGATTGAAACTATTCATACACTGTAAATATCGCCATTGTTTTATATATATATATATATATATATATATATATATATATATATATATATATATATATATAAAACTAAAATGGAAAACGAAACAAACTATGAAGAAAAGAAAAATCAAAGACAGATAACTACAAAAAAACAGTAAAAGCCAATGTTCAGTGTCTAATTTATCAATACAGAACTATATATATATATATATATATATATATATATATATATATATATATATATAATGAAGAGAAAAACAGTAAAATATATAATCCGGTGTTCTTATTAATTTATTTTTACAAAACAGTGCTTAATGCAAATCTACAATAAAGATAAAGCATAAATATTATAAATTTACTAATTTAAAAATATGGTTCCATCGCTACACTGGAATTACTTTGTTTCAAAAACAGAAGCTAAAAAATTCAATTCTAGAATTAAATTAAAGTCCCTAATTCTGTTTGATTTTCAAGCGAATTTTGCAATTCCAACAGACAGATTGTTTTGCTGCATCAAAGCTTCTTAATTTGGCTAGACGTCCTATTGCTTCAAGCCAGGATCGAAACCCGACTGATCTGACATCTTACCCCTAGGCCATGGTCGAACGGCAGAAGGGAGTTTTAACGTTTTTTTCTATACGAAATACTCAGTGTGGCTAGATGTCCGAGTGCTTCAAGTCGGGATCAAAATCCGACTGATTTGACATCAGTCAGATATCTTACCCCCAGGTCGATGAATTTTAACGTTTTTCTCTATACGAAATATGCCAGAGGCTCGGAGAAATCAATTCATAATAGAACCGCTTTTTTTTCTTTCTTTTTTTTAAAAAAAAAATTCCCTGGTGAGCTGAACCAGATTTCTGGGAGCATATATATTTTTTACAGAAAAAAACAAAATTACTTCAACATGGCTATAGTCAATTTCAAGCTGGTCTGAACCCAGACGTCTTCAGCTCTTAAGTGTTTGTGTAAAGTGGAGATTTGAATTTATTTTCAAGATCAGTCCTCCTTAGAGAGACACCTTGTTCATAATAAGGGACTTGTGTTGGTGACTATGTGACGGCGTGAGGCTACTCATTACAGGGGATAGATAGTGGTTTGATGTTGGAGTTTAATTATGGCTATGGCCTTTCGTTGTCTGTACTAAATTCCGGTTCCCACTATAGGGTGCTCGGTATGCCAGCAACAAGTGTGTTTTCTTGGGATTAACAGTAAATAGTATTTAAACCATAAAGGTTCAATGTTATTAATAAGTTATGGGAGATTTAACCTTAAACCTTAACCAATCAAATTTAGTCATATTAGTTGAATGATTGATTCATAAATTGTTGGAAATACCGGGCCACCGAATGGACTAAATCATGCTATCCAACACATATACACATACATATATACACATACACGTGTCTGTGCGTGTTGCTCGACATGAGTTTATCGTGAGAAGCAGCGCTTATATGTGATTGGGTTCTACAACAGTTCTTTATGGCCGTTGAGGACTGGCCTGCATATATAGGGATGTTAAAATGGGAAACCTTTTGAAGATCGCGCCCGCCTGAAGTCCTGCAAACCCAGACCAGTATGTAATCTTCCGTGGATCAGGTAGAGTCGCCTGTTTCATGTCGGATGTAACAATGCTACAGTTACAATGGGTACGAAAATGGACAGACAATCTGGTAATGACGGCTGGGAGAGCCAGAGGCAATGTGATCGCTGTAAAAGAGTCTTCAAGTCGGTGAAGGGTAGCAAGATACACCAGACAAAGATGAAATGTGGCAGTGATTCAGTGGCAAAGAAGCGCACGGCAGTAGTCGTTAAGTCGTCGGAGTGTCGGGGCAAGGATATGTAGAATAACAATAATAAACAGAACTTACCGGCGTAAAGGTCCCAGCTAGCGTCCAGCTGGCAGACAAAAATAAAGCAGGTTGTAACTTAATACAAACCCTGCAAACTAACTGATGAATCAAGCTGGTATTTATATAGAAATACCTCCACTCAGGTACCAGCAGCCAATCACAGCCCAAGCAATGGACTATCCCACTTTAGCACAATGAGATGCTCCATGGCACCATAAATAGCTCTCTTTCTAAAGGTTGGATTATTATTCACTTAGCTTGCTCTACAACTGAGTGTTTATCTCTACCACGTGATTTTTCTACAGATAAACACCACAGTATCCTGCAGGAACCTTTTTCGAAGCTGAATCTAGTCGCCGAATTATCAAGTGGGCTTCCTCTGTGGATAGGGCCTGGTCAGAGATGGATGAAGACTTAGTAGCAGCCGTCTAGACACTCAGGGGTAGTCCAGGAAGGAAAGTCCACCAGCTTGGGGAGATGATCAGTGACTATGGGGTCACCAGGTTTATGTTAAAGGAAGTGAAAGCTAAGTCCTTAGCTCCCTCTCAGGTAAGTCGGCGGCGGAGAACTATCCAGATGTGAAGAGATGTGAAGAGATGTGAAGGTTACGAGCAGTAATGCGAGCTGATGAGCAGATGGCAGAGGAAATCAAGCCAATCCTGAAGGACATAAGAAAGCGTATTAGCAAGCTAAGTAGAACGGAACGGCTTGCCAAAAAGCGACAGGAGGCTGCCAAGGCCCGGGAGTCATTCACGGAAAGTCCGTTCCGCTTCACGAAGCAGTTGTTTAGGGAGAAGACTAGCGGATCATTCTGTGTTGAGCAGGAAGAGCTGGAAAGACACCTTATGAACACGTACTCGGATGCCAGCAGGAAGGTCCTAGCCAAGGTGATGCTAGGTTTATTCAAGCCTGGTGCCCCGGAAGTAGCTTTTGATGAGTTAAATGCCTTGGAAGAAGGTCAAAAGTGTTGTACGGAGGTCAAGAGCGTGTTCTGCCAGTGGTCCTAATGAGGTGACATATGCTGTCTACAAGAGGTATCCCGGGCTAATAAGGTGTTTGTGGAGGCTACTTGTGAAAATTTGGGAAGTTGGTGATGTTCTGGGCTGTTGGTCTCGAGCTGATGGGGAGGAGAATTCATTGACACTTAGTCAGTTTCGCCCAATATCTCTCCTGAACGTTGAAGGAAAAATGTTTTTTTAAGTTTTTTGCCAGGAGGCTGACGGGTTACCTGCTTGTGAATAGCTATATAGACACTAGTATTCAAAAGGCAGGAGTCCCGGGGTTTCCAGCGTGCTTGGAAGGTGTGTCAATGAATTGGGCAAAGATCCGTGAGGCTAAAATTGAAAGGAAGAATATTCACGTCATCTGGCTATATCTTGCTAATGCGTATGGTTCAGTTCCGTATAACATGATACAGCTGGCATTGGAGTTCCGCAGAGACTCAGGGATTATCTGGCTATGTACTTCAATCAGTTCATGCTGCGTTTTTTTTAACGATGAAAGACACTACAAGGTTTGTGGAGCTGCAAAGGGGAATTGCTATGGGATGCGCCATCTCTCCACTACTGTTTGTGATGGTGATGGAGGTGATCTTGAGAAGTCTGACGCCAGGGTACCGCTTCCTGCAGAATGAGGTCAAAATCCGAGCATTTATGGATGATTTGATGATAATTCAAGATGATAGGAAAGTAGCACATTTGGTTCTCCATAGACTTGCAGAGTTGGTGAAGTGGAGTCAGATGGCCTTCAAACCAACGAAAAGCAGGTCACTGTCTATGAAGGGAGGGTCTGTCATAGATGAAGTGTTTTCCATCGCAGGTAAAAAGATACCAACTGTGCGGGATCAAAGTGTGAAGAGTCTTGAGAGGTGGTATAACTTCCCTGTGACAGATCGTCACTATGGGATTGAAATCCAGCAACAAGAGGAGGTGGGCCGGCAAAGAATAGACCAATGTGGGCTTCCCGGAAAATTTTAAGTGTAGTGCATGCATTGATGCCGAGACTAATGTGGCCGCTGACTATATATGAGGTGGCAATGTCTCGAGTTGAGATAACTGAGAGGAAAATTAGTAAATGTATACGGAAGTGGCTTGGTGTTGCAAGGATTCTGTCGCCGGTCCCTTTGTATAGCAGCTCGGGGGCCCTTTAGTTACCTATTACTTCTTTGGTGGAGGAATACAAGGTGGTAAAGGTGCGATTGATGTCCATGGTGTGTGCATCTAAGGATGCTGAAATCCGGAACAATGTGCCAGAGGTGAAGACAGGAAGAAAGTGGAAAGTGTCAAACGTGATGTCAGCAATGGAAGTAATGTTGAAGCAAGCAGAAGTTCATGGCTTTACAAGGAAGGGACGTGCTGGACTTGGTCTAGTTGAGAGGGAAAGATTCTGGTAAGAGGCCAGTAGACAGGAGCAACGCAAGTTACAGGAACAGGGAGGTCGAATGCTCGAAAAGGAGATACGTTTTGTGCGGACTGTTTAGCAAGCTCAGCAGGGTCGATGGCTTAACTGGGAGGGTATTGAGGGTGTTCAGATCAGTTGGTCTGATTGGTGGCGTCTAGGCGCAGGACATTTGAGGTTCCTCAGACAGGCAGCATATGATGTGGCAGCAACACCGGTTGTGTGGTGCTTATGGAAACCTGTGCCACATACTGTCATCCTGCCCGAAGGCGCTACAGAACGGCTGGTACACCTTCAGGCATAACTTGGTTCTGGAGGTTGTGGCAGCAGCTGCGAGAAATGCTAGCATACCCTCGACAGACCTGCGAAAGGCAGCCTTCCTGAAGCAAGGTGCGACTGACACAAGACAGAAAACCGGGTCTGAAGCCTCAAGGATGTGGAGAGTGTTGGTTGATGGTACACCGCCAGTGAAGGTCATTGTGTCTGGTCTGAGACCAGATCTGGTCTTAACTGATATCGAGAAGCAACATCTGTTGCTTGGCGAACTGACAGTGGCATGGGAAGAAGGAATTAAAGAGGCCCATGAAAGAAAGTTGCTTCGGTATGAGGAATTGGTGATTGAAGTCCGTGAGAGAGGATATGGCTGCACCTTGGTGCCATTTAAGGTTGGTTGTAGAGGATTTCCTGCTGCCTCCTTAAAGATATTCATCAAATGTGCTAGTATCCAAAAGCCCGATAAGGTGATAAAGGCTTGTGGTGAAAAAGCGGTGGAATGCAGTGTATGGATTACCCCAAAATTCTTATCGAGTCGCATCCAACAATCATAGACCGATTGCAACGTAACATCATCCAGCTGTTGCGGGCCCACCGTCTGGAGAGGTACTCAGCTTAATGGACCAAAACTTTGCTGAAGCACGGCGCTCAGCTGAAAACTGCAGCTGGTCTGGAGAACTTGATGTGTACATAGGTTAATATATGTAAGTAACCATACGCACACACACACACACCTACATCTAACTATACATATATTCTTTTGTAATTTTGAATCTGTTTCTATGATTATATCTTATGAAATGGACTAATCCGAAAATTATTTATATATATATCTATTTATATATATATCTATAATATAATTTATATATATATCTATAAGGTTAATAGAGTTGAGATACATAAATATAAATATATAAATACATACATACGTATATATAAATATGTATATATATGTTTTATTAAATATATAAATATATATATGTTTAATTAAATATATAAATACATACATACGTGTATATATATATATATATATATATATATGTTTAATTAATTTATTTAATCCATTTCCAAAAACATATATATATATATATATAGAGAGAGAGAGAGAGAGAGAGAAAGAGAGAGAGATAGAGATGCAGAGAAAGAGAGACCGTGTGGAACCAGCATCTGTTTTCGAAATGTCATTTTCATGCTTCAAATAGTCTCAAATCGAATTGTGGCCTGAATCTGACACTCACCATCCAGTGTTAATTCTCATGTCCACACTTTCTATATATCTATAAGCACTATATCCAATAATGAGAATCCTTCCCTTCATAAACATAAATTTTATAATATGCATCTATATATCTACATACATATATATATATATATATATATATATATATATATATATATATATATATATATATATATATATATATATATATATATATATATATATATATATATATATATATATATAAATGTGATTTATTTACTCAAATGCACAGAACTCAAGAAGTTATATATAGGTATAATTCAACAACTGAACAACAGGGTCTCCCTGCACAAAAGCAACATAAAACTACCAGACAACAATTGAATTTACAACACATCTTTAAATGTAACCAGGGTAATTTTAAATTATGCCAATATATCAAACAGACAATTATTCTTACCTACAAATACAAGAAAAAACTTCATAAACAAATTTAAACCAGAACTAAATAGATCATAACCCCGCACGCAAAAGCACACAACATGCACACATAATGGCTAGATACATTAATCAAACCACTTGCCTGTATGCACACACATTTACATGCAGGTGTTTGTGGAACACGAATATATATATACATATATTGACAAAAGCGGGGGACTATGCCCTCAAAGCCCACAAAACTTAGGAAGGATATGTATGTGTATGTACGTATATATGTATGTATGTATATGTGTGTGCATACTGATTCCTTGCATTTTAGGAAGCATATGTACATGTATGTACGTATATATGTATGTATGTGTGTGCGTATACTGGTTCCTTGTAATAGGACAGTATGTGTATGTAGAGAAGAAGTGCGCGTATACATGCGCATGTTGATATATACATATACTCATATTTGCAAAAACAACGGGCATACCCGCGAACACTACACAACATAGGAAATGTGTGTGTGTTTGTGTGTGTGTGTATATGTGTCTGTGTGTATGAGTGTATGCGTACAAATGTGTTTACTAATTCCTCGTAATAAGACATTGTGTATGTATGAAGAGGGAATATACGTATACATACGCATGCTGACAAAAACGCAAAAAATTGGGAACAGATCTAAGAACACACAGGAGTCATTAAAAGATAAGAATGCCGATACCATTTCTACGACCAATCTTAATTGTTTTATAACCCTTCACGCAGAAGTTTTACACTGCCAATTCAGGAAGACATTTGGGTCACTAACACACAAAAAAGAGAATGTCTCATATCGAGAATATTTAATATCGAAAAAAGAAAAAAAAATTAATTATATTTAATAATATGTGGAAATCTCCACGCTTTGCCTCTTCCTTTTTTAATATATATATATATATATATATATATATATATATATATATAAGTGAACATAGAAGTCAACACTTAGAGGCGACAGTCTGTTTTATGCTAGATGCAATCGTCAGCCGTGATGATTGCATCTAGCATGAAACAGACTGTCGTCTCAAAGTGTTGACTTCTATGTTCACTCATATATTTACACACGCTCTATCTCTGATATTGAGCACTTTATCCCATGAATATAGCACATCTTAAGACTATATTTCTTCATATATATATATATATATATATATATATATATATATATATATATATATATGTTGTGGTAGGATCCATCTAATTTGCATAGTGGAGTACCGACCATATAAATATGGTTGGTAGCGGGAAGAGAGGAGGAATCAAGAGATTCAACCAGAGACTCTGCCCGGGACTGCGACTCAGTCAACCCATTCTCCAGGAACGGTCTTACCAGGAATATACAAAAGACTATATGTAAATATTGTGTACACTTTCTTGTTTCAATACATTTTGTTCTAAGTACCTTTTGTGTTGCATTATTATTCCATGCATTAGTCAAGTTTCAACAATATATATATATATATATATTCATGTCAGTGGAGAACGTCAGTCCAAGAATGTGTAGAATGCAGCTCCCTGGAGTTTAGCATCAGCCATGCAGATGGCAGGCAGAAAAAAAAATTTCTCTATGGTTATTAAATTAAAGCAGTTATTTTTGGGAGGTTTCAAAATTTACAAGCCTTTTCTTTTTCTGGGGTAGGTCTTTTTCAAGAGCCGTTCGAAATTTACTTTGTCGGATCTGTCGGACTTGCTAGTAAGACAGGCGTAAACGGCAGTGTTATCTGCATAAATAGCTAGTTAGTAAATGATGACATCGTGGATGTTTTGATGAAAATCAGAACCAGCGTAGGTCTAAGGATAGAGTTGCGCGGGTTCCCCGCATAAGCATGAGATGGTCTGAAAACGTGCTCGTTCAACACGATCTTCATTAAATATTTTTTTTTACGAACGATTGGATTAAGCCTCATATTCATCTCGTGACATCATCTTAGAAATGAATTATTAACAAAGTTTCTTTCATAAATTTCTAGGACACCTTGTCTGCAAATATGCGTTCAGTACACACGCATGTTTGTGTGTGTGTGTCAAGACGATCTTAAATAAAACTCACTAAAGTTTAGACTCTATAGAGGTATTACTTCTATAAAAGCGAGTGCTTACCATACACAATCACAGGGAGATTTGGAGGGGTTTCAATCCAATCCAAAGAATATGATGCAAATGTATTGCTTAGATCACAAGAAAGAGTGGGATGATGGCATCCCATTCCTGATTTTCGCAGCACGCGAATCTTTGCAAGGGTCCCTGGGATTCAGCCCGTTTGAGCTTATATTTGGACGCTGAGTAAGCAATTGGAATTGATAAATGAAAAGTGTTTGCACGATGGCCCAAACAGAGAAGGTTTACTGGATTATGCAGAGCGATTTAGAAAGAGAATACTTGAGGCAAACGCGTTGGCCCGGGGGTATTTTAGAATTGTTCAAGGCAAAATGAAGGGGCGCTACGATAAGAAAACAGTGGAACGAAAATTCGAGAGACGTGATAAAGTCCTGATTTTAATACCTACGAATAACCACCATCTTAAAGTTCGATTCCATCGCTCATACCTAATCTAGAGAAAGATATATGACCTTAACTAATCGTAAGAAGACAACTCAAAAATGTCATGTAAATATGATTAAACCGTACTTTAAAGAAAGGATAATAAACCCATATTAGCTATCCGGAAATCTTGTGAGGATGGTCATCCTACAAATAAAAAAGATTTCTATAAACCGGCCTACAGAAAAATTAACATTTTTCTCCGTTGGGTGAGCGCGTGACGACCTTCCGTCGACACTCATTAGATAAGACATTAAAGTTCAAACTCTAGAGAGGTTAAGTTTTGTTATGGTAAACATTCTATTTGTGTCTGCGACAATTACCCCACCCCATCTCTCTCTCTCTCTCTCTCTCTCTCTCTCTCTCTCTCTCTTCTCTTCTCTGCGACAAGGAAAATGCAGTCTAGCGAAAGCTCTGGTCTCAAAAGGATTGACTCCCAGCAACCATGTTGCTAACATGCTAAAAACATGCACGTGAAGTCACATCATTTGTGATTCGAAATTGCGCGCGAAAGGAACTTGACACATCAGTTGGGACAAAAATTCTCGACGAAGTCGGACCCGCCATGAAGCCGTCATGCGCATGGATTAACAGAACTGAAAAGAATGTATGCCAACCCCAGCTCACACAAACTCCAAGTAGAAAATTAGTTGGGACAGCGAATTTCGATGAAGTCGGACCAGCCATGAAACCGTCATACGAATGAATTAACCAAACTGCAGAGAATGTATGACAACCGCAACTCACACAAACTCCAAGTTTCAATTAAGTCAGAAATGATCAAACGGATCAAGACCATTTCTAACTGGAAATGAATCGACCCTGAAAAAAAAACTCTCAGAAATAAAAATTTTTCACAAAAGAATAAGACATTGAATATTATATAAAAGAAAAGAATGTAAAAGGAAAAAGAGAAAGGAGAAATATATATATTAAAAAAAGGAGAAGAGAAAACAAAAAAAGAAAAAAAGAGAAAGGGAAAAATGTGTATTTAATTTCAGTCGAGTGAACGAAGCTACGTGTTTTTCTTTTTAACTATATCGCATACACGCCATACATTTTAATGATATTCAGATATTCTTTGTTTTAAAATGTTTTACATTCAGATTACTCTTTGTTTCAAATTGTTTCATGTACAATTAAAAATTTCGTTACATTTTACATTGGTAGTTTTGTGGTTATTTTTGTTTTGTTTTTTGTTTTGTTTTGTTCTTTTTTTGTCT